CTTAAAAGGCAGACCAGCAAGGATAGTTGTACAATTGTATACTTTAAAAAAAAAAAAAAGCAAGAAATGCATTCTTACTACTTGTTGTGAGGGGAAACACTGACATAACGTTGAGAATGAAGTCAAAAGTTATATATTTAATTTCACCTATTTACTTTTTACTACAGCTGAGATATAATTGCTTCAACATCGGCTTCAGTTTCTAAAATCATTATACTGCACGTTATGCTACCACTCCAGTAATAAATATAAAAAAAAAAAAAAGGTGAAATCAACAAGTATCCTAACGTAAGGTCTGCGTACAGGGTTAATCTGCACACCCGGACGTGTGGTAGTCAGAACCACCAGCTCCTGCTCTTTGTGTCACCACTTCTCTGACCTACGCTCAGATTACGTCATAAAGCATTATTACGTACGCTCTGTGACTAACTGAGATCTTTCCTGTTTAAGTGAAACCTCTATCAACACGAAGGCAACAACAAAAGCGATTGGAACTCCAACTCAACTGTCATGCTATAAATACCCACAAACCGGCAAGGATGACTTTATGACATTCTATTTTGTAGATTAATTCAGTCATTGATTTTCAAAGCATGTCCACCGAATTATTTTTCCATCCCACTTCCTGCCATCTTCTTTCAAATGCCAGTTAGCTTTTGATGTGTTAATTTAAGATTTATATTTTGTTTTTCTCCTTTTGGTGGGAGATGTGAATTATACTTTTCTTTTTGAGATACACCTAGCAAATGAGAATATGTTCAGAAAGAACACGCGTATGCGATGGAAATAAAGTATTTGTTATTCTTGGCAGTTTAAACTTACGCCTTTTTTCATTCCTTGGAGTGTCGGAATTGCATTGTGCCTGTTTACAGAGAAGCTGCGATATTTGCGCCTTTTCGGCCGACACATCTGACTTCATCGAACATTTGTTGACCATTTTAACCTCCCAGGGTTGTTGAAACATAAAGTAGCCCCATAGTTGTAGTAAAAAGTAAATTACCTCTACTTATGTTAGGCTGATTAAACGGACACAATACGTTTATAACATATCACTAATATAATAGATATTCACTGGCACCCTTCCGTCTTTCCAGACGATAGTGTTATATTGCGCTATGAGGAGGCATGGGACTCACAGTCCATGGCGATGGCGAGTGTGACTAGCAAGACCCGCCCGTGTCAAGAAAAGTCTTCCACAATGATAGCATGGGATTTCAAGACCATTGTTGTCAACATTAGTGTTTAATCCGTTTCTTTTCAGATGCTCAGCTCTCATCCTTTCTGGGATCATTTCTTCCTTCAGTCTAATTCCCTTTCTGATGTGCCCTTTCCACACAATACGGTAGTGTTGCTGGGTGGAGATGAGTGTCTCACGGACCTGCGAGCCTTGATAAATACAGTTTCGTACGTTCTGTCGTTCGTTCGTTCGTTCTCTCTCTCTCTCTCTCTCTCTCTCTCTCTCTCTCTCTCTCTCTCTCTTTTCCCTCTCTCCCTCTTTCTCTCTCTCTCACCCCCTCTCTCTCACAATAAAAGAGCTAAGACAGTTTCGTTGTCTTTTTGTTTGTCACTTTTTCTGTACACGCGCATCCGTGAAATAGTCCCCCCCCCCCCTCCACATAACCTTGTACGCCACTGTTAAGCAGTTCATATTATGTGTTCTGTGTCCTGTACATGGTAGTGGTGCCGCCGCACAGAAATCCTTGGTGGAGGGGAAAGCTCAGCAAAGTCAACTGATACATTTTTAGTAAGTGCATGAGGTCTCAAGAGGCCTAAACCGTGTTTAAGTGCGCAATAATAAAGTAATATTCAAGCGCAAAATTGCGCATAACCACAGTATGTTTGAAATAATATAAAATTTATAAATGCTCACAAGAGAGAACGTCTATAGATAGTTATGATGAGGGTGGGAGGGGGGGGGCGGACAGTCCAATTGAACTGTCTAGGATTGAGGCTCAGTTCCCCCCCCCCCCTCCCCCCCCACCACCGACACTTTATGGGTGGGGGCTTTAAAGTGTATGTGACACCAGTTACCTACGCCTGTAATAGTGTTAGTTCATTATCATTGTGTCTCGTTCTGAAAGTTGGAGGCATCGTGAATCACCCAGAATTGCCGACGATGGGAAAAGACAACGGGGAATCCCCGGAAACGTGGCCGACATAAATATCCTTCAATTGTGACTGACCAACAAAAATTGCTTGTTACATGTAATTTAAGAGTCGCATAGCTGATGTAGCCATACCCCCTTCTGGTTTCACACACACGGCAATGACATATTCATCTCCTGTCTTGCTTGCTGCAGGCATAGGCGACCATGACCAGTCGCACTAAAGCAGGACTAGCACGAAGTCTCCCTCCCACATCTTTCCGTCGGAGGATAAGATATCACCCCAACTCTAATAATTCGCAGGGGGGTCACTCCCCACTCCCTCGCCACTTCCACACCCACCTAGAGACAATTCGCAATGAAGGGGGTGGGGGGGTGGGGGGGGGAATAAGTGATTTCCCCTGTCTTGTATAAACTCTCCACCCCCCCCCCCACCTAAACACATTCTCTGTGTGTGGGTTGTGTTGTATGTATGTATATGTATATATATATATATATATATATATATATATATATATATATATATATATATATATATATATATATATATATATATATATATATATATATATATATATATATATATTATATATATACAGTTCACATTATTTCATATATATTATCAAAACATAATAATTATTATTAATGCGCAATTATAGAGGGCTTAGTATACACTAACTCCTTCCTAATCTCATCACCAGATATCTAAACTTGGCGGACTTACTGAATAGACACACCATCTGTTTTCGTTTATGTAGTGTCGGTGCAATATGTTTTCCTCTTTCACTTCTGTCATGTATCATTCTTGTAGCAGACGCTTGATATCAAGATTGTGTCATCTCTGTGTCACGTTGTCAGTTGTCACTGTATGGATTGCATCTTCCTATTCTGCTTCTTCTTTTTCTTCTTCCTTCTTCTTTCTCCTTCTTCTTCTTCTTGTTTCTTCTTCTTCTTCTTCTTTTTCTTCTTCTTCTTCTTCTTCTTCTTCTTCTTCTTCTTCTTCTTCTTCTTCTTCTTCTTCTTCTTCTTCTTCTTCTTCTTCTTCTTCTTCTTCTTCTTTTTTCTTTTTTTCTTCTTCTTCTTCTTCTTCTTCTTCTTCTTCTTCTTCTTCTTCTTCTTCTTCTTCTTCTTCTTCTTCTTCTTCTTTTCTTCTTCTTCTTCTTCTTCTCTTCTTCTTCTTCTTCTTCTTCTTCTTCTTCTTCTTCTTCTTCTTCTTCTTCTTCTTCTTCTTCTTCTTCTTCTTCTTCTTCTTCTTCTTCTTCTTCTTCTTCTTCTTCTTCTTCTTCTTCTTCTTCTTCTTCTTCTTCTTTCTATAATTATTATTATTATTATCAATATTATTGTTATAAATGCACACATTTGATGTTTACATTTATTTACATCCCCCTCACCCCCAATTATCTCTGATGCACTGGCATGCAAACTGTTTGCCGACTATGCTGCTATTATTATTATTTGATGATTATGATTATGATTACTATTATTATTTATAATATTATTATGCCTTCTGTTGGTTCCCTGCCTCTCGGGCATATGCACTCTGACTTCGATGGAAGCTCGCAATTAGTCGACTCTCATGAAATGCCTGTCAGGGAGGTAGTCGGTCTATTCTTGTTTTCCCTACAAGGGGGCACTGGAAGCCACAAGGGGGCACTGAAAGCCACAAGGTGGCACTGGAAGCCACAAGGGGGAACTGGAAGCCACCAGGGGGCACTGGAAGCCACAAGGGGCACTGGAAGCCACAAGGGGGCACTGGAAGACACAAGGGGGCACTGGAAGCCACAAGGGGGCACTAGAAGGCACAAGGGGGCACCGGAAGCCACACGGGGGCACTGGAAGACACAAGGGGCACCGGAAGCCACACGGGGGCACTGGAAGACACAAGGGGGCACTGAAAGCCACAAGGGGGCACCGGAAGCCACACGGGGGCACTGGAAGACACAAGGGGGCACTGGAAGCCACAAGGGGGCACCGGAAGCCACACGGGGGCACTGAAAGCCACAAGGGGGCACTGGAAGCCACCAGGGGGCACTGGAAGCCACACGGGGAAAATAGTTGACTGTAAGCCAGGCTTTTGTACATTACAGCTCATTCAGTATTTCTAACATCATCATCATCGTGTAGCATGTCTTTTGCGGAACGTCGCTTTCATCCCACTTCCCTAAAAGAAAGTCGGTATCTCGCTAGACTTTCCACCTGGTGTACTTTCCTGCCCAAGTTCTTACTTAACCCTTTGCCTATCTTCGTGCTGGTCGATCTCTGCCATTCTTCCCTGGACCATGCCCTATGCCAACAATGATAATCCATTCTTCTCACTCTCCCTATCACATTTCCTGCAATGGCTTGCAAACGATTTGCTAACTGCTACAAAAAATAAAACATGGCATATTAATGTAAGCGTATATTAGAGTAAACTAATTTACAAAGTGATATTTCTTGGAGAGATAACCACAGTCACAATGTAATATTTCCTATAATAGATATAACCTCTGTTATTTTTTTCCCCCATCTATGCAGGTTATTAAAGAGAAGCAGTTTTTGAGCAGTAGAAGAGAGCAAGTGGACATAACAGACCCGGCCGAGACGGATTTACAGCATCAATTGTTAACTCCCAACACAGCTGTAACTATCACCGCGCTAGCAGACTATATAAATGACAATTTGATCTGGGATGAACTCTTTATTACGTACACCTGCAGCTGTAGTCGACCCGCCACCTTCTGTGCTCGTGTTTAGATGACTAGGTGAAGGATATTTCTCTGTAGCACCTCTTGGAGATCTCTGTATCGACAAAACAATTAGACAGCACCCCCTACACAACGTTGCCCAGTAGCCAGCAGCTACATCTTGCAAAAGAATCAATCATCCCTTGCCCAGTCTGGAATCAGGATCATCATGTCTCGTGTTTACAGATCGCTTCTCTATATGTTTATCGTGGTCCAGATGTTCGGTCTCAGTTTGTGTACAAAACCTGTTCTTTTGAGACAGGAAGCCAGTCTTGACAAGCCGAACCAGAATCTTAACCAACACAGAGCGCCCAAAACAGTTGCAGAGCTTCATAATATTGACAAGAGGGAGACTGCAGTTATCGCAGAGGATAAGAGACTCAGAGACTTCGTTGGGAAAAGAGCTCAAATAGAACCGGTTGAACTTCAGCCTTTGACCCCCGAGCAAGGTTTCTCTGAACTGCCTATAGATGCTGTTGCAGATTATGAAGAAAGGCAACCAGATGTTCACGATGGTAACACTTACATACCTGAAGAACACCTTTTTCCCTCCCCGCAGTCATCTTTTGAAGAATCTTACTTCCTTCCGCCATATTACAAGAGACTACGCGATTTCGTGGGCAAGAGGGAGGAGAAACGTCTGAGGGATTTTGTTGGTAAACGACTGAGAGATTTTGTAGGGAAACGAAGCCATATTCTATACGACGACGGTTTCACCAACGAGAAGAGACTCCGGGACTTTGTGGGGAAAAGAAACGACTTTATAGAGAACTCTGAAGACGAGTTTCAGCCAGATGTTTCCAAGAGATTACGAGATTTTGTCGGGAAGCGAGACCTCAGTGATAACTTTCGCTTTAAACGTGCACGAGAATTTGTTGGAAAACGAGATGACATCAGTAAAAGACTACGAGACTTTGTTGGCAAGCGCGCCGAATATTATCCTAGCTACCTGTTGCCGAGATACGACAAACGACTCCGAGATTTCGTCGGCAAACGAGAGGCCTATGAAATTTTTGATGAAGGTAAAAGACTGCGAGATTTTGTAGGGAAACGAGACGGAGACGATATTTTTGAAGAAGATAAAAGACTACGAGACTTCGTCGGCAAAAGAGATGACAAACGCGCAAGAGAATTTGTGGGGAAAAGATCTGACAAGCGCGCCAGAGAATTCGTTGGGAAAAGAGACGATAAACGCGCTAGAGAATTTGTTGGGAAACGAGATGACAAGCGCGCTAGAGAATTCGTTGGGAAAAGATTCCAATTTGACGGCGACAGTGAAGAAGAGCCGTTAGCCTATAAAAGACTGCGAGATTTTGTGGGGAAAAGAAATGACTTCACAGACTTTGACAGACCGGCAGTGGGCAAGAGACTCCGTGACTTTGTGGGCAGGAGGTGATAGCATATGCTTGTGTACACATGCTAAACCAAATGTTTCATATTAAATTACAATGTGTGCACCACAGACAGCAGCATTGTGTCTCCACACTAAATGATATTATGGGCATTCAACATTCTAGAACAAATACTGAACTTTACAGCTAGACAACAAATCAAACGGGTTGGCCATGTAACAAGATTGGAATCAGACAGGGTACCACACAAAGCAATCTTATTCAGATACAACGGTAACAGACCTAAAGGTCGACCACGCAGATTATGGACAGCAGAAGTATCAGAGGCACTGAAAAGTACTAGAAGCGAAGCGAATAGAAGGGCTAGTTCCAAAGATCTCTTCCTGCTATGACGCCGTCAGGCATTCCAGAAATAAAGAAAAGAAGAAGAAGAAGATCATTCTAAGTTATTACAGCTATTTAGTTTATATATATATCATGTATTTAGATTATTGTCAGTTATATCTTTGTTCGGTAAATATGTGACACAAACCTAAAGGAAGACAAAGCTATATGTTACACAGAGAGATCTGGACTGCATGACATCTTTCATATGGGTTACCGGCCTCCTTACATCAGGGTTACCGGCCTCCTTACATCAGGGTTTCTGGCCTTCTTACATCAGGATTTCCGCCTCCTTACATCAGGGTTACCGGCCTCCTTACAATAGGGTTACCGGCCTCCTTACATCAGGGTTACTCGTCTCCTTACATCAGATTTACCATCCTCCTTACATCAGGGTTACCATCCTCATTACATCTAGGTTACCAGCACCCTTACATACGGCTTACTAGCCTCCTTACATCAGGGTTACCGGCTTCCTTACATCAGGCTTACCGGCCTCCTTACATCAGGGTTACCGTCCTCCTTACATCAGGGTTTCAGCCTCCTTACATCAGTGTTACCAACCTCCTTACATCAGGGTCACCAGCCTCCTAACATAAGGGTTACCGGCCTCCATTTCATCAAGGTTACCGGCTTCTATTTCATCAAGGTTACTGGCCTCCTTACATCAGTGTTAGCAGCCTCCTTATATCAGTGTAACCAACCTCCTTACAGCAGGGTTACCAGCCTCCTTACATTAGGGTTACCAGCCTCCTTACATCAATGTTACCAGCCCCCTTACATCAGGGTTACCAGCCTCCTTACATCAATGTTACCAACCTCCTTACACAAGGGTTACTAGCCTCCTTACATAAGCTTTTCTGACAGAAGCATAAAAATAAAGAAATAACAGATATCATATAGGTTAATCAGACAAGCCAGAATTGTTCAAAGTGAGCTTACAGTCTAACTGTCATCAAACTGAAATATGTTACATTGAAAAAAAGCCAGAAAAGCTGTACATCCGACCCAGAACGTCAATCTTGTATGTTTTAAACTAATAACAGTTTGACATTTTGAAATTTAAAAAAAAAAAAAAAAAATTTTTTTGTTCTATCATAAAAACAGCAATCCAAACGAAAATGATAATACTCAGTTTTACAATATCACAATTACGAATGACAAACGAACGTCACGGCAGGCAGTCTTCATCGTCACCGGACACAAACGAACGTCACGGCAGGCAGTCTTCATCGTCACCGGACACAAACGAACGACGATACTTTTACAAACAGAAACAGGCAGAATCACTTTTTTAAAAAAAAAGATAGTCTTGCCATGGAAATATCCATAACATGTCTAAACAATAAATAGAAAAGAGTCCACGTCTAATTTTGAAATAGAATACTAGACAGAAATGTGCCAGAAAGGTAGGATGAATGAGTTGTGGCACATAATGTAAATAGGAAGTTTTTAGATAAAGCGGTGTTGCACGTTAAGACCCATAGGAGAGGGAGAGTCTATTAAATATCTTTTGTGCAGGCATTTAAGCAATCACAAATTAACTCGAAAATAACCGACTGTTAAAATAGATATAATAGATACATTCTATCATTTCATTGTCTTTTAAAAGATCTTACAAATGAATATTAATCAGCAAGTACATTCACTCGTCTTCTTTTTTTTTTTTTTTTTTTTTTTTTTGTAAATCGAAAGACAGATTATTGAACACATTACATTAATACTAAATTTAACATCCTAATGATTAACGGATAACGTAGAACGTTACCTTTACACTGGAAATAATTCATAATGTAATTAAAACGAGTGAAGATAATGACTCATTGCTGCCAAAGTACTTTATATTTATCGATTACTCTCAACTTAACAAATCCCATTTTATTTGTTTTATACGGGGAGCGTATTTCAGTCTACGAGGTGAGCAGCGCAATCTGGGTACGTTATTTACTAAATATTGAGCACAGACAAAAGTACGTGGATATAATCATCAGTTCGCAGTGTGGATAATATTGTTATAGACTTGAAGATTTATTCTGTAAGTTAATTACCAATTCAAGCAGATGTTTTTTTTTTTTTTTTTCAACAGATAGGGATATTGTTGTTTAGTATAGCCTGGCATTAAAGAAAATGGCGTCTATTCGTTTCGCCTTCCTACTAAAAAAAAAAAAGAATGACATTATTAATACAATAGGATAGATCAATACGATCAACACAAATTTGTGGATTTAACATGACATCAGTGAACATTATGTCATGGATTATACGGACATAATTTTATTATTAGACATAAATTGTTTGAGTCCGCATGGTGTGACTCGACATGATCAACATTAATTAGCGAAATGCCGTTACATTAGTTAAAACGTTATCAGCAGTAATTCCCTAGAAGAAAACAGTTCTGGGCAGATACAAAAAGGGCACGGTTTAGAAATATTTACTGTAGAGATGTAAACTGCTCCTGGCAGAATTAGAAATTGCAACAAGAGATAATAGCATAATTCACATAGTGAAGATAAAACGGAGATGATAGTATATTTGTGACAGCAGAGGCAATAGCAGAAATGTGACAGCAGAAGCAAAATTAGACTTGTCACAGCACAGGTAGAAGTAGACTTGTGACAGTAGAGGCAAAAGTAGACGCGTAACAGTAGAGATACAAGTAAAATTGTGACAGCAGAAGCAAAAGTAGACTTGTGACAGCAGAGATAAAAGCAGAGTTGTGACAGTGAAGATAAAAGTAGAATTGTGACAGTGGAGACAAAAGTATACTTGTGACAGCAGAGGCAAAAGTAGACTTGTGACAGCAGAGATAAAAGCAGAGTTGTAACAGTGAAGATAAAAGTAGAATTGTGACAGTGGAGACAAAAGTATACTTGTGACAGCAGAGGCAAAAATAGAATTCTGACAACGGAGGCAAAAGTAAACTTGTGACAGCATAAGTGAAAGCTGACCTGTAACAACAGAGATAAAAGTAGGATTGTGACAGTGAAATAGCCGAATGGCGTGAGGAAAGTTAAAAGTAGAACTGTGATTACGACAGAGATAACAGTAGAATTGTGACAGCGAAGATAGAATACGCAGAACTCTAAAAGTGACAGTGTAGGGAAAAGCTAAAAACATATAAACAAGAGGTAGACAGCGATACTAGTGGGGAGAAATCATCTAGTGATGGTTAGTAATACAAGTAGAAAGATATCCTCTAGAGATGGTCAGTGATACGAGTGGGAAGATGTCATCTAAAGATGGTTAATGATACAACAGCAGTCTGACAGAGTGTGCAGCTAAGGCGAGTGACAGATTGTTGAGACTCCATTGCCGCCGACCTTCACTGCGAAGACAGCACTGATCGATCTATTGATCGATTGACTGATTGATTAGAAGGAACATCCCACCATGTGAGCAGTCCACAGATTCCATTTGTCTTGAAAGCTTTTTCTGTCTTGACATAGCAACGTAGAGGAAAATAAGAAAACTAGACATCAATTCATAATTTGTTTTACTGTATTTATTTTAACAATGTTTATTTCATGATAACTGAATGTTTATTTAGTTTAACTTCAGTGATAGAATATTTATCAAATTGTTTACGATGCACATAATTCGTTTCCCACACGTCTGAGTAAATAAGAGCAAACATAAAACAGTAACTAAAAAAAAATACTGAAGCTTTGAGACGTAACGAAATAAATATAATACAATGTAAATTTTTATGTTGTTCATTTGTATTTGAAGAAAAGTGTGATCAATTTATGAGAATACAAATGTGAAACAATGATCGACTAATTTTCTTCCCAGTCTGTTTCTAGTGATCAAGTACAGTATTTTGTGTTTTATACGTATGACATTTCTGTGTTTCATGATGCCATTTATGTGTTTTAAGATGTCGTTTCTGTGTTTGATTATGTCATTTATCTGTTTTACGACGTCATTTCTATGTATTACGTATGTCATTTCTGTGTCTTATATGTGTCGTTTAGGTATTTTATATGTCATTTCTCTGTTTTACATGTCATTTCTACGATTTACCTATGTCATTTTTGAGTTTCAAGTATGTCACTTCTGTGTTGTACGAATGTAATTTCTGTGTTTTACGTGTGTCATTGTTGTGTTCATGAATGTCATTTCAGTGCTTCATGTAAGGAATTTCCGTGCTTGGTGTATGTAAATTCTGTGTTTCACGTATGCCATTTTTGTGTTTTGTGCATGCGTGGTACTTGAGACACTAGGAGATAGGTGATATCAACAAACCACATCTGGGAGAGCAATCTCATGGACAGGCTGACAGTCTCAGAAGACAGGAAGTTTCAGTGGCAATATCACAAATCCTGCTGGTTTCTGAGGGAAGTATGGAAGGGGAGGGGGAAGGGGGGGGGGGGACGGGACAGGTTGAGGTTGAAAGGAAGGTGCCTAAACAACTTCTTTCCAGAACTCAGACTATCTGAACCGCAACATGTGGGACTTAAGAGTCAACGCTCACAGTTACCCAAGGGGTTCAGGAACCAAGCACGCATGTCCAACCTCATGAAACTGCTGTCTCTTTCTCCGGCATACTGTCTCTGTCACACTGTCCCTGGTACACTGTCCCTGGCTCAAAGTCCCTATCACAATGTCCCTGGTACACTGTCACATTGTCCCTGTCACAAAATATCTGTGACACAGT